AACCTGTCTGATGATCTGAGTGCTCAAATATTTTCCCCCTTAGATTTTGTTATAGTGATCTTGATGAGTTACTGTCACTGGAAGGTTTTTTGTGTTTTATCTACTGTAGGAACATCCAAGAGGACACTTTTGCTAAAAGAAATTTAACATTCAATCAGTCAATTATAATTTAAAGGACAAGTGTGTAGGGACTAGTGACACCTGAGTGATGTGCGTGTAACTATTTTCCTTCTAAAGGCCCTATCTACAGCCAGGGTTTGCTTTGTCTGTTCTGGGATACTGTAGAAACATGGTGGTTCAACATGGTGAACTCCAGAGAAGAGGATCCGCTCCCTCTGTAGATAAAAACAGCTCATTAAAAGGTAACAAAACTCACTGATTCCTATTTTCAGGTGATGATACACTAATGAAAACATACCTACGAATATTATATTCCATTCCTGCTAATAGATTCTCCTTTTGTTTTACCAGTCTTGTTGGCATATGATTGTTGCTGATGTTTACAGAGCTACAGGTGACCAATGAACGCACATATTGTGTTCAAAATTAGCTTGTATGTCTCTCTTGGATTTGGAAGTTTGGATCTGGCCCTTCCCTAACCGTGAAAAAATAGGCAAGACTCCAGGGTCTCTTACGTACATTGTGCTATTACTCACACACTCCTCTGTTGCCTGTTTAAAATATGCTGGAAGAAAGGGTTCTAGCTGAATTGGAGGGCGTAGTTTCCCTTTAACTGTTCCATGTCGTCCCTTCCTGGGTGCTTCTCCCTGTTGACCTCTGACCTCTCATTTGACATATATTTACTGTATGTATCTGTGCGAGGGAGATAACAAAAGGCTAATTCCTCATTACCCTGAGTGGAAGATGCTGATTGAAATTGAACAACGTAAACTAAAGGAGTGTTCTTAATATTCTTCAAAGCCCCTGCCCTTTGCATAGGAAAACCCCTTGGGAGTCTTAATCACTCTCAGCCCTCCAGGTTGCCTTCGGCTGTGGGTTGCAAACATTTGTTTTAAATTAAGCAGCTTGGATGAAAGTAAACATACCTTGCGTCATGGTGACAGATGCGACATATTTCCGTACTTTGAACCCCACTTCGTCTGTTTGAACCTGCTATTTCCAGTTGTCCTACATATCAGAGGAGTGGTGTGTAATTGTTTGACATCCCTTTATTCATTTCCCCTTACGTAGCACTACGTCATGTTAGAGGCCATGTGCAGAGGATTGAAAATACACTTGCCCTTGAGCAGGCTTCTTAATTGAGAATCATAAATAATAAAAACAAGCAGATGAGATACTTGGACATGGTGCACGGGGAATTATAAAAGATCACAATGCATTCTGTGTAACATGTTGGGTGTTCACCTGTTCCTTCAGCCTTGATGAGCCTGTCCAGCTGAAATCCATTTGAGTTTTTAGTGAAACATCAGATGGTGATGGGGATTGCCATCAACTGTCTGCTAATCGCCCTCAGCAAGTTTCCCACTCTGCCAGTCACCTGATCCCACCTCCTGTCTGTTCACCTGTTCCCCATCGGCCATTTTGTGCCTCCTCTCAGGGGCTGGATGGGAGTTTTGAATGTATACATGATCATAATGAGGAGACATGCCTGTCCCATTACAAAAACACCTCCAACTGTGGTTGCAAAAGCAGACTTCATTTGCCATAATCTGGAGGTCGTACCCTGGATGAACCCTTTGCAGGCTACAGAATCCCACAATCCATTGTGCTCTAGTCCATACTTTGTCAACAGCCTAAATAAATTGAAAATTGTAAATAATTGAAACTATCATCTCAACTTGTTGTTCTTATCAGCCTCTTCTCATGTTGTTGATCAAAGGGACAAGATGTTTACAGATATAAAAGTTACTTAGAAGGATACAGCACTACATGCATTGTATGTCAGATGTCCATAATAAATCCTATAGAGCTTCAGGGGTGCTGCTAGGAGGATTGTGTTACCTTTAGACAGAACCAGGCTAGTTGTTTCCCCCTGTTTCCAGTTTCTTTATGCTAAGATAAACTAACCAGTTACTAGCCGCAGCTATATATTTATTGCAAATAGGAAAGTGGTATCAATCTTCTCATCTAACTATCTGTAGGAATAGTATGGTCTAAGTTGCTTTATTAGCCATTGTTCTACAAACACATTTCCCCCCGGGGATCAATAAAGTATTTCTGACTGTGATTCATCCCGATCTTTTTACAAGCCTTCCTTTGGCTGCTCTTTAAAATTACCTCCTTACTTGCCCTGTCACTTGGTGGGTTTGGTTGCCTGATTTCTCTGCCCAATAGCTTCTGACAGTAAGTTTACTATATTCTGACTGCTTGAAATGCATATCTTGTATGTCTCATGACTCTACAACAGTCTACACACTGTGTATGAAAATAATAATCAAATGATTAGCACAACTGCAGACTTCATCCTTAATCTCAGACTGTTGAAACTACTGTTTCAATAATAACTTCAGTTTGTCAGAATGGCTTTCAGACATATTCCCTAAATGGGGAATGAGTGTGTACATACGTTGGCTCCCAGTGTCCATTAAGTACCACGTAGTTTGATAAACACAGGCCATCTCACTGTTTTACGGCTTAAGAGCACCATCTAAATTACCTTACATTTACATCTTAAGGTGCTTTATCTGTTTACATTAGCGAATGTAAACCCTTAGGACACAGAATAGATTGATATTTTATACAGTAAAATAAGAGTAGTCCTGATACTGTCAAATATAGGCTACATTAACTTTTCTACAGCTTTCATTTCCTAAAATAAATGCACTTTTTTTTAACAAACACGCTGATTCCTATAGCACCACAGTACATTCACACTGGGAGCCACCCAGTAAAAGAAATGACAGCTGAAAGTCCTTCTGACGTAAGCAATGACAGCAGATGCTTGTGTACGTGGTTCCTTGAAAAAGAGGCGGGGTACCATCTCTGTCTGCGTTTTTCTCTGCCTACGCTCTCGACACTGTGACGTCAGGAGTTGAATACGACCTGTCCTTCCAATCACCATCTGAGACACCTGAGGAAAAGGGATTTGTTTAAGTAGCCTATGGGGTAAATTTAAGAAGCGTCTAAGTTATGACCTCCACTCCCTTATCATTAGGCAAACCACCAATATTAACAAATGTAGTCATATTTGAAGGAAAACTTTCATTTGTGTTCTTACATTTGTGTTGATTGTTGATTGTTTATTTTATGTCTTTTCTATTATATAGAAAATGTATTTTTTTTATTGCCTGTTTGCACCGTGGGTCCGAGAGGACTGAAATTTCATCT